CATCAAAATAGACATCCATACACCATTCGATAGAGAATTTCAAGGGCTACATTTTGCACTAGTTACATTAAAGAAATGAGCCACTTTAATTTTTCGCCTAATGTCCGCCTGGATGCCCACTGTGCAGACGTTACAACTGAGATCTCAATTTACATCGCCAACCAAAGTGAAATCTCACTTATACCAAAGATATACCAAAGACTTCTTTTAAACGTCCTGTTTATCCCGAAAACAAAGTAAAGTTGGTTTTGAGTTGCGGAAAGTGCTTTTTCGTATCCAGCACACTCGATAAGCCAGAAGATTTTCTAGTTTTGACAAGAGGTACTTCCAAATGTTTAGGAAAAATTTTGAAACTAATATTACTTTCCATGAAAATTTGTTTGCACCATTTTGTCAAAATTTTTCCTAAACATTTGGAAGTACCTCTTGCCAAAACTAGAAAATCTTCTGGCTTATCGAGTGTGCTGGATACGAAAAAGCACTTTTCAGCAACTCAGAGCCAACTTTATATTTTTTCCGGTGATAACCAGTTCTTATCTAAATATTTGTCAAGTATCGTCACTTGATTCGCTTCAGCCAAGCACTTGGACGTATATAACGTACGTAAGTAGAAATAAATTTAGATATTTTTATTGAGTTGAACAACTCGGTAGCCATGCATGCATGTGTTCTACAAAAGTAGAGTAATATATAGAGCACAAAATACAAAATAAAGATAAGCGGGACAAGTACTTAGATGAAGGTTTTCAAGTAAACTTACTTATCCTGGGTCGGTCCATTAGTGTGGACAAAGTGTCTAAAGACGAATTGCAATTTTTGGGCGTAAAAATGATGCAACAATTCGCATTTTACCATTGTTTTGCGAATTCGTAATTCAATGCGAAGTGATGCGAACTAACAAAAATGATCAAAAACGAACCAAAAAATTGCGTCTTTTGCCAATTCGTAAATTAGGACGAATTCGTAAGAAAGAAATTTCCGGTACCTACGAATTCGTAAATCGAATTGGTCGACCATCGACGAATTCGTGAAATGATCATTTTGGTCCCCAAGAATTCGTGTACGAATTCGTAAATTGGCAAAAATACGATAAAATACGAATTTACGAATTCATAGATGCCAAAGCATAACCGACGAATTCATAAATAGAATTCGTAAAATACGAATTGATGTCAGGAACAGGACATTTTTCTCTGAGGTTAAAAATAGATAGATTTCGTCTCTTCTCATCGATTCACATACTTCTCATACCAATTCGCCGTTATTTTTACGAATTCGTAAAATACGAATTGATCAGTTGAATGAATTAATCAAAAAATGTGACAATAGACTATATTAATACATGTATCTGTGCGAAACAAAATAGAGGGGAATCTCTCTCCCTTTTGTGTGCATGTGCCGAGTGGAAGGGGGGCAGTGAGGATGGCTGTGAGTATTTACACAACATGCCGTATTTTACGAATTCGTAAGAATAACGGCGAATTGGTATGAGAAGTATGCGAATCGATGAGAAGAGACGAATCTATCTATTTTTAACCTCAGAAAAAAGTGTCCTGTCCCTACGTAGCCTAGTAAGCGTACACATCGATTCGCAATGAATTTGCAGCAATGAATTTGCAGAATGGGTTTGTCAATTCGTGGATCCATTTTTAACCGGATCAGTTCATAATACGAATTCGCTAATTCGTATTTACGAATCAATCTAGTTCCAAAAACAGTGAACACGAATTCGTAAACTAATTTTACGAATTATTTGCGAAATTGATCAGCATCGTGTTTGATCTATTCTCTGTTTACGAATTCTTCTTGCGAATTCGTAAAAGTTTTTAAGAGTATCCGTACGAATTCGATACAGTTCGCATCAGTTCGGTACGAATTCCAAAATAAGGGTAAAACGCGAATTGTTGCATCATTTTTACGCTTAAAAGTTGCGATTCGTCAATTCGTCTTTAGACACTTTGTCCACACATCTACAAGTGCACAGCCAAGTGCTTGGGCAAGTACCTGATGCGTAAATTTACTTGGAAAAGTCCACTACTGTCTTTATTTCTTAACCTAAGAGCTTGCGCAAGTAATTGCTTAAGTACATTTACTAGGGAAAGAGTGATAAACTACCCAGGACGTTGAAAACGGTCTAATTTATTGTCAGCCCACAGAATGTGCCTTAAATGACATTTTCGTCCCGGGTCGTATCTGGGCTCAAGAATTTTGATCCATTCCAGGGTTTTTTCTTTTAGTCGCTTTGTCAATAACACAAGTCGTAGTTTGACTATATGCATCCTAGAATACAAATGTACGTATTTTTCCGATACAGGCACACGCGCACAGTTATGTCTGTGCTCGTGAATTGGTGAGAAGAGAAGGAGAGTGAACCCGAAAAATAATTCCAATCTAAAGGGAATTTTTTCAATTTGTTTTTCGTTTAAGCAAATTCAAAAAGTCCAAAATAAATCAAACAGAATCGAACACATTTGTTCACTGTTATAAATGGATATTGTATCTATAAATGTTCCAAAAACACAATTCATATTCAAAATTGAAGATATATAAAAGTTTTTCAAATTGTAAATGATCAGTTTTAATTGATGGTTAATTAGAGTTTTATCGTGAGTCGAGTACAAAAGACACTTTATTCAGATATTTTGACTACTGAAATGTTAAATTACTTTATAACAGAAGGTTAACGGAAAATCGCTTAATAAAATAATATTTCACCGTACTATAAATACTAAATTTTACTTGTCAAAGAAATTTAAATCATTTTTTATTTGTTGAAATATAACAGAAAAATAACAATGGCTGACAGCCGTTAGTATTAAAACGAAATAAAATAGATTAAAACGTTTTCGGTCTCAATGGACAACATAAATTATAAAATGCATTTTGATCCCAAAATGTCCACCCTTTCCAGCCCACCCATCCCTTAAATAAAGAAAAAAGAAATAAGATAAATAAAACCGGTTAATCTAATTTGAAGAATATTTTCAGTTTTCCCTATTACTTTACTACTACACTGATTAAACTTCGAAAGATGATTAGGGTACTGTAGTCAGACACACGTTGGTCAAACAATATTCTTTAAATTTTTGTTTATAATTGTGCCGTTTCGTGTCTGTCAGTATTTTTCTGAAAAAAAGAATGTGTTATTTCTTACTTTATCTTGAATAATTTTGATATCATCTACACTCGTGTAATGTGGATCTAAAATCAGTAAGCAGCAATCACCTGTCATTTCATTAAAATCAACACCTAAAATGGTATGAGCTAGAACACCACCACCTGAAAGAAAAAAAGTTTATTCAGATATATATATATATACAAATTCTGACAATCATTTACCTATCATAATTGGTGTGCCTTCTGTTTCAAAATGATGAATGATTTCTCGAACATGTTCAGACATATTTGCACCTTGATCAACCGTTATTATTTTACATTCTATCTAATAACGTTAAAAACGTTTAGTACGTTAAAAAATAAAGAAAGAAATGTTTGTTTACATTTAAATAATTTTGCAATACATATGATACTTCCATACTGCCGATCCATTGACGAGAATTAAGAAATTTTTTCGGTTTATCCTCAATATCAATTAATGTCTAAAAAATGAGTTTAAGATAAGTTAAATAATTTCAGTTCGTAGGTTTTTAGTATGTTGATAAAAGAAGACTAAAAATCATGTTAATTTAAACGTTCAACATTATATTCTTTTAATTCGCCTACTTGTTGTATTTGTTTATGTGTTGGTGGCTTTTTTTCTGTATAACCTTGTAATTGAAACCAAGACGCTAATGTTTGTAATGATCGATATGCACAACCCCACTGATTATCATCTATTCCATCTTGCATATAATGATAATAGGCATAATTTCCAATTACTAGCGTTTGTTTACCACCTTGTACTAAAAGAAAAAAAATGAATATGTAGGAAACAATCTGAAATAGAACTAAAATAATATTTCTTTACCTTTTGATGGTAAATTTTTATGAACATTAAATAATCGCGTTCCATTTGTCTGTTCCAGATCAAAATCTATTGCATTAAGTTTGGATATCAATGGACGATCGTAAGGTAAATTATACTGTTCATGTATTTGTTTTCTTAGTGAAACTACAAAAAGGCAGTGGACATAGGAAAAACAAAAAGAAAAAACAAATGGTATTTTTACCTTGCTTAATATCATCATTTGGTTGTGTATTATCCGATATAATTGTTAAGATTTGATTAAGAGACTTTATATAACAATGATATGGTTTTAATGTTGCAGTGTTAAATAATTTCTAAATAAAAAATGATATATTTTTAAAAGTTGAACATAAATTGACTGAGCATCAAAGATAGCAAATGTTTAAGTTTTTAAAAAATAATTTAAAAACTGCTGTTGCTTACTTTTATACAAAACTTAGCCTTTTCACTCGGAATCAATTATCAACTCAAATATTTATTGAATTATTTTGTATATGTTACAGAAAGAGCTCTAGTACCCTACTATTTCATACTAGACTTATTATTTTGATTTGTAATTTTAAAAGAAACAACTAAAAACTTACTTATAACATATATACACCGTTTCATTATAAAATGTGATTGGGAGCCTTTTCTTTCTCTAAAGCATTTTTAACTTGTATATTTAAAAAGGCGTAGAAATATAACAACAACAATTTCTGGTCGTTTTATTCAATTCGTAAATCACAGCGGGTGATATTGCATAGAGCACCGCCTCCAATAAACAAAAAAAAAACTTGACTTTTTTTCTTTATGTATCACTCTTGCCAACAGAAATATTAATATGAAATAAAGTGTTCTTTAGTAGAAAATGGCTCTAGTACCGAGAGTAACAAACATGAGAACGCTTCCAACAAATCGTGTGTTACCTGTCACAACTACAGTTTCGACAACCGAACCACAACCGTATGTTACTTATGATCAAGTAGAATTATGCAATGATCCGAATTGTCCAGTATGTCGTGCCACAAGACGAGATAGAGGTCACAGACATCATCATCATCATCATCGCCATCACAAACATCATCATCGACATAACAAATCAAAATCTAATTTTTGGGATCGTCTGATACCGCGTGTCGAGTCGGCAGAATCAACAGTTTCTGTTGAACACGTGCGATTAGACGAACGTCGACGAAGAAGTCCAATCGTAACGAATGTAGTTCAAGAACGTTCAGTAGTACCGATTAATCAAGCTGATAGACAAATTATATCACAAACAACGACTAGAACACTACGAGATGATCCCGTAACGAGAGAAGCATGGGTAAGTAAATATATTTCAAGCTCAAAGATAGTGATGATAACTCGAGAAAAATAATTTTCATAAGAGAAAAATTCTTATAATAATCAATATTAAAAGACTTTTTTGACACTAACTAACTATAAGTCAAGTAGGTCTCTGATGTATGTATATCAGCATTGGAATTTCTTTTATTCTTGATATTTTAGACTGAACGTCCAGTAGACGGTGATGAAATTGTGTGTTGTAACGCTTATAACGGTTGTCGTTGTCCCTGTTGGTGTTGTATCATACTCATTATTCTATTTGTTATACTTATTATTATTATGATTGTTTTATTAGCCACACTACTTTAGTTATTATTACTTACGATATTTTCAATATTATGTTCTAAATATGTTTCGATATAATCCATTTGTTTTAATATATTTTGTTCTAATCGATTACGAATTTCACTAAACGTATTGGTACGATCACAAACGAGAATAACATCGACAACAATTGGCAATATTGTTGTACTCGAACCTTCAACGAAAAGGAAAATTCAAACGATCACTATATAAATTCTTTCTTAACGATAATACAAGTAAAATAGTAGCTTCGTTAATTTTTCAGTGAGTAAAATGATAATAAACATACCAGTACACAACTGAATTACTGGTGAATAACATGATTCATCTTCTGTTGTCATTTTTAACATTTTTCCTTTAATGATCTGAAATAGGAACATGTTTATTCTATATATTAGAGATTTTTCATTTTGATTCTTTTTCACCTTCCACGGATATAATTTTCTGTATAATTCTGTGTTCTGTTGAATATGCTTTGTCTGTTTTGTCGTTGTTGTTGTTGTTTCCTCAATAAGTAAATCTTCAATTTTAATATCATCAAGTGCATGTTTGCCATCTTCATTGTAGAGACCATCTTGTGTAAAAAATAAATTAAATTCATCCAAATGATAACCACTATCTGATATGACGACACGAAAATTATTCAATTCATTAATTATATTTGTTAACAAATCATTCGCCTTTAAATTCTCTACAATGAATAAAAAATGAAGACATTTTTTAGCTAGTATTATTGAACGAAAAAAATTTAATCAACTTTTTCAATACAACAGACTAAGTTTACATTACCATTATTATCTGGTGATGATAAAATCAATTGTGTTTGACAGAGAATACGAATAATTACAGAGTCATCTTGTAATGTCTTGGATGCAATACAACACGAGTCGTCTCTCAAGATTTCTTTTCTCATTTCTAAAACGATAAAAAGGCAGTAGTGAGAACTCTTCTCTATTCGATTATTGATAATAATTTGCTACTTGAAAAAAAAGTTCTTCCTAACGTTTTCTTTAAGCCTTTTAGCTTTATTTCATGATAAATGAGACAGCCTAGATGATAAACTGATGACATAGTACTGCATTTGTAGGATAGAATTGACTAAAAAACTCCGGTTTCTGGCTTTCATAACACCTGATATAACATGGATTGATGCTGACATGGTATGTGATTATCTAATAAGTTTACACTGACTTCATACCATTCGATGATCACGTCCCCAACTTTGGATTAAGAAATATTAGGATATTCTGAAATTTTTGAAGTTAAAGGCCGATCAAAAAAGTCTTAAATTATCTAACACCCTCACTATCATTTGAAGTCAAGTTTCAAGATCATCAATTGTCAAATTACCGTTTTTTTTCATACTTTTGTTGGCACTGTTTTGTACAAAAAATTCCACAAAAAAAGTCCATGTGAATTTCTCTCTATTATCGTTTATGAATATTGGTCAATCAGTTTTCAGTTTTAAGTCGCTACGATTTCTAAAAATTTTCGCAGCTGCTACTTGCTGAGGTAATCTTAAAAGTTTGAAGGCGCTTAAAATTCAACTTCGAGAGAAATCAAAATGCCAGAGTTCTAACGCTGAAGACAACGTACTGTAAGGTTGTAGACAACCGCCTCTAGTTAGCTAATGACATCTGCTGACAGCGTAGCTTATTATCGTCCTTAGGAAGCCAATAATAATAAAGAGCTCATCTCTCACAAAAAATAATGATGTTTTTGTTTGCTTTCCACGAAAGGACGGGGGACAGTTTCTGCAAGAAAATGGCCCTATATATTTTTGAGAAGATAACGACTGGGACTGATCAGAAACCGTTTGTTATTTTCCTATAAAAAAAATTCTAGTGTGACATTAGTGCGGCACATGGCATACCACCGATCACTGCCACTGGCCGGCACGTGCCGATGTATTTCTTCCAAAAAAGTGCCACACTGGAATTTATTTAATCAATTTAATTAGTTTTTTATTGTGGTTGTTTATACTGAATTTTGTATTAGAGTGTGGCACTGATCAGCACCACATTGAAAACCAAAACCATACGGTATTGCCTCGGCATGTCTCTTATGAGAAGGAAAAGATGAAGTCAGAAAGACAATCGAAATATTAGAAGTAGACTGTGACTGTAGTGTTAAGATAAAAATTGACAAAACAAAATTATGATTGAAAACCAAACTGGTACGAGATTTTACATCCTTTCTGGCATCGATGCACATCGATGCTTAGAAAAAAATCATTCGGCACCGATGGGCATCCGTGTACAACCAGTGCCGATAAAATAGTTTTTTATAGGGTTAGTTTTTAATATTTCTGCGTCGTAAAAGTTGATTGTAGACTACCATATGCTGGAATTTTTAATCATTTCTGAGCATCGGTCGAAAAAGCCTGTCCGATCGTATTTATTCATTTTTCTCTGCGAGTTCAATGTTCTTAATAGAATCTCATATATGAAAACATGCCCAATTAAACGGATTTTAATTACGGGATACTTGACAAGTATCTCGATTTTTTCTCAAATTGAACCCTGTTTGATGAAACAGTGCTGTCGAATGCTCAGAAACATGTTGATTTGTTCACGTGGTTCAATAGTTTTGAGAACCACCGTAAACAAAAGTCGGGACAGTCATATACTGTTCAGAATACAATTGCTTGACGGTATACTTTCTAAAAATCTAATGTGTTGCAATTGAAGCTTGCTAAATGCTGTATTCTTTTAAATCATAACCATTCTGGGTCTGATTTTGTTTACAGCACTGTACTTTACTAACTCTTCTACAACAGGTCAAGATCAGTACATCCGTTCACTATCTTGCCCATAAGTTTAACAAGTCAATTCAAATTTATTTAGTCCATGATCTTAAAAACTGACAAGGCGGTGATAAAAAGCTTAATAAAAAACTTTGACCAAATCACCTCACTACACAAAAGAAAAATAAGATAACAAACTTACGATTTTAAAGAATGATAATAGTTCATTGCTATAATCATTTTTGCGCCACTATACGAAAAAAATCGAGATACATCTGAAGTATTTGTCCAATACATCTACGAAGGCAAACTTTTAAAACAATGTGTTATAGCGCATTTCGTGGCCCTTTGAATTCTACATTTTCTACGTATAAACCATTCGGGTCTGAGTGCGCTGACAAAACTATATACATTTTATTATATTCAGTGACGGTTACATATACGGGAAGCAAATAGTCATAGACGATGTTTGACCAATAACTCTATGAAGATATTAGTTTGAAAAGATGTGCTGTAGATCATTTTAAAACTCGTGTAATTGCGCATATTTCCATATATGAGATTCTACTAAAAACATTGAACTCGCAGAGAAAAATGAATAAATACGATTGAACAGGCTTTTTGGACCGATGCTCAGAAATGATTAAAAATTCCAGCATATGGTAGTCTAAATTCAACTTTTAAGGCGCAGAAATATTAAAGACTAAATAACAAACGAATAATTTTCTGTCCCCCATCCTTCACTAACATCTACAGCACAATGTAAGATGTATATTTTCCATTTTTTTAGATGAAATCAGTTTATTATGCAAATGGGTACAGTCGTTTTCGATCTGTACACATTCTGATAAGTTGTGGACAAATCTCAGCTGTGCAGTATTTAATTCCTTTATTCAAAGACGAATATTTTCACCTGGCACTGATGCATAGCAGAATGAACTTAGAATACACAAAGAACAATTGTCAGTAGAGGAAATTCAAATTGAATTAGTCGAACTAAAAGCAGCATGTGAAAGTATATAGAATTTATACAATGTTTGAAAGAAATATAGTCGGTTTTTCTATGTTTTGGAAGACGGACTTCCGATTCACGAACTGTTGAAATTATATAGTTGTTCACCAGAGAAAACACGTGAAAAATACAAGAAATACAACAACAAGAAAATAATAATTTTAACGATGAAGTAAGATTAATCCTTTTTTTGTACACATGATTTATTCTCAAATACGTATCAAATTTTTTCAGATTCTTTGACACCATGGTCTTTAGAAAAATGTGATTTGTCTGAGTAAAGTTTGAAAGCACGTGGAATTTTTTTCAAAATTCATCCATGTAAAGTAAGTAGTTCTAGTTTTCAAATTTGGCACTTTTTGTCAGGATTTCTTTTATAGCTTTTCAATCGTACCGCTCATGAATTAGTTTGTTTCTATTACATGTGGAGGAAGACTGAACGATACAATGAATTTATTTAATCAAATCAAATAGAAAAAAACATGTCGGTCATATATTTTTTGCTACTTGTGGATGTCAACATCAACAAACTTCTAGTATCTTGCTCAAATTCATTATTATCAGTCGATGTTAAACGTTGCTTACCATTGCCACCAACATCGTGTTTAGACACAATTATTATTCAAAGACAACACCAGTCAACAGAAAAACGGTCATATGAAGAATATGACGAACAGCAGAACAGTACAAAAAGAATTTGTACAGAAAATGATCAGATTGAAACATTAACTGGTGTGAATGAGAAGGAACAATACGAATCGACAATAGTTACGCAGTAAGAATAAAATCTATACATATTTCTATTGCTTTATTTGTCTTTGTACAAGTGTGAAAAATATTTATTAGGTTGTTTTCCTAATTATTTTAGGAAACAAAATCAGAATTATTTGTTTTTTTCTTTCTTTTTGTTGTTTCATTTTAAACACATAAAAGAAGATATCTTAACTAAAAATTTTTATATTATAAAAACAAAAATCTTTTTCTTTTTTTGCTTCAGAAAATCATTCATGGTGATAGGCTCCACACATAGTAGACAACAAATATCTATTATTAGAAGATCCTGAAGTTCTTACGTTCTAGAAAAAAACATCTTATTGCAATAACAAAGTAAAATGGGCTTAGATATTATTAACAAAAAATCATTCTCTATTCGGTTCTACTCAAATCGGAGTCAAATTAAAATTGATCTGCAGAATCCATGTGTTTATTGTTAAATTTTAAAAACACTTGAAGATATACTAATGACAGATGTTTGTTTGTTACTGAGATTTCTAACAGAATAGAGACTTGTCTAAGTGCAATATTTTTAACCTTAATTGCTAGCGTTCTCCTATTTTATTAGAATAAAGAATGCACACAATTATCATTCTTCTAATCCATTGAATGTTGATATGCAAAAAATGCAGTGCTTAACGTTACTTTGTACATTTTTCTGATTGTTCACTTTTTATACTTTTGCACTATTATATCAATTGAGAATAATGTACAGATAAAAATCAAGACTTCTGAGAAAAATATATGTCGTTCGTATTTCAGATTTGTTTCTGTTAGTTCACTATACATGATTTTTGTTTGTAACGTAAAGAGTGCAAGAAAAATATGGCTTTATGGAGTTCAAAACCAAATGAATTGATTCGTCGAGATATACAAATTGTTGGTATTAATACATCAAATCAAAAATATACGGTAAGCAAGTTCTACATAGAACTCCATCATTCCATTTTATTTTCTGTTTTTTTTCTCTTCAGGAATATGTTGTTGAAATTCGTCTAGATGATATTAGATGGCAAGTGAATCGTCGTTATAGTGAATTTAATGATTTACATGAACAACTGGTGAAACTTTATACCATTGATAAAAATTCTTTACCACCAAAAAAATTATTCAATAATCATTCAGATCTATTTGTACAAAAACGACGGCAACAATTAGATACATATTTGAAAAATTTATTTCTTTACTTTTCTACCAAGTCTATTCCTGAAAGTTTAGCAGATTTTCTTCATTTCCAATTATATGTAATAAGCTTTAGTGACTAAACTACTGATGAATATTTTATATGTTTTTCTCTTAGGAAGTACACGGTATTGTGAGAAAAATGGCTCAAGAATTATTTCTTAATGGTAAGTGATGTAATAATCAAGATAAAGTGAAATTTATTTTGTTTTTGTTTTTAGGTGAAAAATTATTATTATCAAAACAAGTGTATAGAATAACACCATTACAGTTGCATGCGATTACGAAAAGGGTGAAATTAGCTGAGCCACCATGTGGTAATAACACAAAAAAAGAAACTATCTAGAAGTTATTTTGTTATCTATGTTTTTCAGATGGTACTGATCCTGTTAAAGATATTAGTCATGTATTAGAGTTTTTGTGTCACGTCAAGTACGTACAAGTATGTACAAATCAATCAACAAATTGCATTGATTTGTTATTGAGTATATTTGTTTTTCTATTATCTTCTCTTTTCCCATTGAGCTCTGATTATAAACAGTGAAATCATAATCTAAAAATATTTAATCAAAATTGCATCTTTAGACGTGAGGAAATTATTATTTGAAAACAAAATTACTTAGAAAAGACCTTAGTTACTTACTAAAGTTTTTGGAGAAGCATTAACATATAACTAATATCTGAGTAATACTCAATAAACTCTTAGTTCCACGTTAAGCTCAGCGATTTCACTGAGAAACTGGACGATCCAGTAAGCGTATCTGTCTTAGAGCCCTGCAGGTTGCCGCTTTTTGACAACCTATAACCTAACCTATAAAAAATTTCACAGCTTTAATCCTAACCTATCCTGTGATTTTTTGTTTTCAACCCACAGAACGTTACACTCATATTTAACAAAAGTAAATATACATGTCACTGTTTTTTGCCTTTCAAAGAATTAGGGCGTGGATGACTCAAAATCAGACAAAAATTTTGCTTGCGCAAAAGTAGAAATAAATTGAAAAAGATTAAAATGCAACCTACAAACTCACCTAGAACTTTTGCAAACTACTAACCTAGTTTAACCTCCAGATGGCTCTGATCTGTGGAATATATAGCTTCTCTTTATTCAGCTCAGTAGCTGTATTTCTTTTACTTGAGCGGGTTTGGCTGGACTGAGTGTCTCGTCTACAAAACAACCTTTGTTCAGTATAACTACACTCTGCGAGAAACTGTATTAGATACTGTATAGAAAATAAAATTATTGATATACAAAGACTTAAAATAGGGTTATTAATTGGTCAAAATACAGTTATTAACAAAAAATATTTGTTACTCAGTACAACATATCTTCTCACCTCTTCTGGAATCTGTATCGAAAATACTGTCTAAAACATACTGTAAATGCTGTCTTTTACATTTTGTATCTATTCACTTTTATTATATTTACTAGCAATGATCCAACATTGCTATAACGAGAATTTCTTATTAATTTACCTTTTTTAAACGAAAATCAAGAACAAGTTTTCAATGTCGTTGCATGATCCACCACAGCATCAAAATAGTAGTTTATTATCTTCTTTTGTTGTAGATTGTAGGTAGTCCAGATTACTATGGTACTAGTACAATTAGAACGCAAACGCTGCCATTTGATGTTTCATTTTTAAAATCAGTTGAAGAATTAGAAGTAAGCCTCGTTTATCTCTAAAAGAAAGTAAACTATTTGTCTAATACGTTTTTGATTTATTAAAGCTTGACTATGTCCAAACAAATCAAATAAGTGGTATTGATAATTTAAAAAAAAATGCACGAAAACTTTCCATTCATCGAAGTTTAGCGGCAATCAAAGTAAGCAAATATGATGAACGGAACATAGTATAATATTAACAAAACATATTTGATGGTTGATTGGTAATACTGCTAAAAATATACAAAATTTTATTATAACAGGAAAAATAATCTGGTATTTGCATCATCGATATTCTAATTCTAATACTTTCTTTCGTTTTAGGAGATCGCATTATCGTCATTGGGTGAAATTCCTCCATTAAGCAATGAATGGTTAATTAGTACATGGAAATTAATCACCACACTTGATTTCAGTAAGAATTCATTACGTTTTCTAGATGAATCATTGGTAAGTATGTGTAAATTCGAATAAAATCTGTTACTATTCAATTTTGATTTTTTTTAGAAATTATTTTGTAAAGCTGAATCATTGGATCTTAGCTTCAATTTATTAGAAACAACTGTAGAATATCTTCAACATTTACATTTTTTACAGAATTTAAATTTGTCAAATAATCGGTTACAAGATGTGGCCGACTTTTATCAACGAGTAGGAAATATAAGATCCCTAGATTTGTCATACAATGAAATTATTTCAACTGAAGGTAATAATATAATATAAAAATTTAATTTATAAGCTCTAAGTTTCATCCAATATATTTTTACGTTACAATTCATGTGTTTTTAGGTTTATCGAGATTATATTCACTTATCACACTTAATTTAAATAATAATAAACTTGATTCAGTATGTGCATCTTTTTTTTTTTGTTGCAATAATGAAACTATTCTTATTTTTATTTTACAGGTGAAAAGTATTGAATCATTAGGTAGTTTACCATGTTTAGAAAATCTATTATTGAAGAATAATCCATTGACACGTATCGTAGATTATAGAATTAGAGTATTTGCTGTCTTTCGTGATAGAGCAAAAGATGTACGGAAATATATATCCTCATTTTGATGGTAATATTATCTATTGGTATGTTCAAGGTTTGGCTAGATGGACAAATGCCTGATCAACGAGAAATTGATCGTGCAATGGTAATTAGTGCAATGACACGTGCAAAACAAAATGAAGCTGCTGTTAGTTTATTAAAGTATTAAAACTATTTGAACAGTTTCATATGTTTTTTTTCATGTTATAGGCCTCTACAATGCATATTCGAAATCCAGTTGGATTAACCTCACCAACAACGTCGAAACGTCCATCGATTCAAATATCTTCCTCACCTTATCGTCACATGTTAACATCAAAGCCAGTTAATTGTCGGTCTGAAAAATCTACATCGATACAAACTATTTCATCTTGTCCAAGTAAAATGTCAAATTTAAGTACTACTATTATTAATAAAATCGAAAAACAATTCGATCGTAACGAAAATGATCAATCTTTAGCAGCAGTTAGTTCAACAATGACTGAACTTGATAAAGAAAAAGAAAATGATCTTCCTCCAGTTGAATTTACACTACGCTCAAACACGGTCTCTTCGGTAAATTCAGCAGTGACAGTTGAAGAAGAGAAAAATGTCCTGTCTCAGTCTAAACCAGATGTTCTTATGGACGTTATTACGGATCACACAGGAAATATAGAACAAGATATTTTATATAAAAGTACAGATTCATTCAATGGCGATCTACCTCCAAATATATTTATTGATCAAATAACAACAACACTACTTGATCTAACAAATGATACATAGTGAGATTTTCTCTCATTTTTTAACAAAATTCCGGTGTATTTAGAACTGTTTTGTTTTGTTGTAAACACTTATTCGATATTTTCTTACGATTCTATTATTTAGTCTGGAGCTTGATACACTCACTCATCACCTGTCAATTTATTCTAATGAACAATTGCATCAAGAGAACATTTAAGAAATTTACCATAAGTATCTAGATGATCTACATAACTACACATTTATAGCTTAACTAAACAATGTCATTTATTTATTTTCTACAATGAAGTTTCTCACTTCTCTTATCATCTTTCTCTCGTGAAAATTCACCTTATCGATGTTGCAACTTTTTGTTTAATTGTTTTCTTTCTAAGAAAATTGATTTGATAATCACTTTTCTGTTAAAATTTTTTTCATTCGATTTTGTGTGAAATGAAAAACTACGTGAAATTGATCGTTTTCTACTATATATTATATCTATTATATTATTAAGTGCAATGTAATACATGTAAATAAATTAATATTCCGATACTACAGAAAAAAGTAGTTAACATTTTTTCAAGTTCAAGTTCAAGATTTTTCTATCACTTTCTGACGGTCTACAATACATAATTTTGCACAAGTTTTATGATTATTTTTGTCTACAAGTTGTAAAATTTGCAAATTAATAATTCATGGCTCGGAAAACTATTTGGAATCGATGTTACTCACTGCTCTATAGAAAATGGAGCATAGTATGTGCTTGCAAAATGCATAAGGAAACGAAAAATCCGAATATGATCTTAACTGCCTTCCTGACACTGCTTACGGTCCTGCGTACAATTTATAAAATCAATACCCACGTTAACTACAATACAACGACAATATAATTGGAGTGAGTTATTCAAAGCCTACTACTCTGACAAAGTACTGCAGCAAAGTGGGAATAAAAAGTTAATACGGTTGAAGTAACTTAGACCGCCGTTTATTTATAAACAAATTGAGCTATTTACAATGTACATGTTGGTTTTTAACATTAGAGAAGTCAAAATGTGTTAGAAGGAATCAATAGTTTTAGTTTGACATTTGTACGATGTTTTATTTTACCGTATGTAAAACCATAAACTGCATTCCACAAATAGCTATTTTCTCTCTCATATTATAGTGCTTACGGCCATACCACGTGGAATGCCCGAACTTAAGCAACGTCAGGCTTGGTTAGTACTAGGATGGGTGACCGCCTTGGAATACCAAGTGTCGTGAGCTTTTTTTCACAAAGTCTAAGTTCTCAATAATTCTTCTGCTGATACGATGATGCACTACTGTTGTTTCTGCATTGTATAATCGCATATTTCTGGCATAATATTCTCGGTTTAAAAATACAATGGTCATGATATGTTTTTGGTAAAAGTGAGATTTGTTTCGAAAAATTACTATATATTTTACTAAATGTTTTTCTCGATGTTTCCAACATGGTCAATGCGAAAAAGATGATTCGCAGAAATTGTTTCGTGATAGCATCAGTGTCCAAGAATGGATCGCATAAACGTGCTAGCAGGACAATGCCGAAAGATCAATATGTTGGGCAAATGTTTGTGTACACAAAAGAAAGTGAGAAAAATGTGTGTACATGAGTTTGAACTTGTGCAATTATCTCACAGTACTATTCTGTTACAGGAAGCACATCGATTTTCTACTACTAGCACGTCAGTTAGTGTTAAATATGTCTTACAGATATTGCGAGTTGTATAAAAACGTCATACTTGAGCAGAGGTTTAAGACGAGGTTGGACTAATGCGATTGGATAAATAGTTCAACTCAGGCTCAGGCAAAACGTTAATGTTTTATTACAGTTGACCTGTTTATCTCTTATTCATACGCAAATGGGTAATAATAATAAGTATACAAACATAGAAATAAAGATAGTTAAATTGTCATGAACTTCATTTCAATTTTAAGCTGTAGTGTATTCAGTTTCGTATTTAAGTTTTTAATTAATAGTTCATATTCACTCCGTTGTTCATTGACATTTTGAGATAGAGAATCAATCGTTGTTTTCATTTCATTTTCAAATTGTTCAAGTTCTAACAATATTTCATTCGTATTTATGTTTTCAAACAATTTCAATTTGTCTTTTAAATACGTATAATCAAATATCAATTGTCCAATTAAACTATATCCGTATAAAAATCCATCATCATAACCATCTTGTTCTGTTAAATCACAACCATGACGAAATCCATCTTTATAACGAGATTCAGTCAATAACTGAACATCGCGGCTAGCCACTGTTAAATCATCACTATTCTCATCGAATACATCCATAGAGGGGTCCATAATAAAAACAAATCTAAAAATACAATTATCGTATTTTAACACGATTTTATCCAATAGATTTTTTGAGCTTTCTGGTAAGAGCAGAGCGAGGAAGAAATAGCACTTTTTCATTGCACAATTCAGTATTAAATACCTATCGGAGGTGCAGAATCTCCCCTTGAGAATGAACAACGTTCACAGACGGGATAATTTCTGAAAAATTTCTTAGTCTCAGAAGATTTCCTAGAGCAAATATTTTTCATAAAAAATGCTATTTTTGGAAGTTTTTGCTGAAAAATTTCCTCGGATTCAAAACTTTGCCCTGACGAACGTCGGAGAAAACGGGTATATTCAGCATCTCTGACCTCTTGAAAACGTTCATTTCCAAAATATATTTATCAAAAACCAAACAGTAAAAGAACAGTGTAAGAAAAATATAACTTTTTCTATCGATTAAAAAACGACATATATAAAAATTAGGGTTACGTTGATGACATTTTATTTTGTTCAGTGCAATATTCATTCAAAAATACCTTTGCCATGTTTGCTAATCTTTGATCATTCGATTGTTTATATTGTTTTAAACATTCAATAACTTGTGTCGAACATATTTTATCTTTTGATTCGTCTGTTATTAAAAACATGAGTAAACACATCGAATTGAGAACAATATTTATAGAATTCGAACACAAACATTTTATTATTGACAATAGAACACAATCATCGTTCAATATCAATAATTTATTCTTATTATCTAGGCACAAATTGCATAGACCACCTAAAACAAACAAACACTTGTTAATCAGAACATTTTCCAAAAATTTTCCAATACAAGTTCTCTGAATATCAACTCACCTATACAATATTCTAAAAATTGCTGCTGTTCACTATTATTTTCATTTATATATCCTTCGATATTCATTTTTAAACAATCCATGAATAAATGGATTATATTTAATTGTCTTATATAATCATAGTTAATAGGATCGTAGGCAAAATTGGCTAAATTTGCTAATATTTGTAATTTATGTTCATCTGAACATGATGAATCTTCATATTCACAAACTAATTGTTGTAGATATGGAAAACGAGATACACCAAATTGACCTGTACGACGTTTCAGCGATTCAGGCGTACTAAACATTTTGATCTAGAGTTTGATTAAAATTCATTACCTAGGAGCGGCGAAGATGTTTAAACAAAATCACATTCAGTTTGATTTACGATGGATTTTATTTAACAATGCTAACTTTTTTTTTAAACGTCTTGTTGACTAATTATTTGCAATTGTTTAGTTCAAGTTTGCCACCTTTTCCGTCGAGAAATTTCATCTTTTGGACTTTTTTTCCATTTTCATTTTCTGATTGAATCCAATCACTTTCGATAAACGTGAATCATCAACTCTCCTGAATCTGATCTAATTCGAAAATGCGTTTTTATTGAGACTAAACGGTCAATTCCCAAAAGACATACCACAACTTAAAAATGTCTTCAAGATCATTTAAACACTTAAAATATGAAATAACAGATAATTATTTATTATGCATATGAAAAAAGGTGAAGAGATCTTTAAAAAACTGGAGAAGAGAACACCAAAATACGAAAAAATATTTCTTATGAGTGAAAGTGCGCAAAAGAGAAAAACTAACTTGTACATATTGTAAATATATGACGGAGAACAAAAAGAAATCAACAGAAAGCAATAAACTACAGAAAAGGACTCTACTATTGAAATTCTATTTAAAAAAACAATTAAGAAAACAACCAATCAATTTACATTTTCTTTAATTTCAAACTGCAGCTCCAACATAGAGAAAAAAAAAGAAGAAAAATCTGAAATATTGAGTGCAGATCGTAACAAATTCGTTATAAAACAAAAAGAAAGAAAAAAATAACCAGCAGTTTTAAAAGCCAAAATAGTGTTACGACGAAGTTTCATCATACCGTAATACGAAAGAAAAAATAAACTGAATTAAGAATGGCTGTAAACTTAACAAGGAAATCTAAAGTTATTGATCTACCAGTTACATGAAAAACCTTCTTTGTCAAAAATTTATTTCCGACGAAACTGACTTCTAAGTAAAATATAGTGCAAAATGCGAAGAAATGATCTTAATCTTCTGGAAAAACAGAGATACATTCTATACTTTCTATGGCAAAAAATATGTTGAAAGATGTTATTTAATAAAATAAGTAAAGCTCTGAAATGCCAATAGAAAAAGAAATAAGTGTTTAAATAAATGTCAGATCAAGAAGAAGGAAAAAACCCAAGAACATATTTATAAATTAATACGAATGATAATTTCAAACAAATTATTTGCCTCAATAAAAAAAACAAAAACACACCGATAATTTTATTTTCTACTAAATTTTTTTTCTTATACAAAAGTATAAGTATAAAAAGAGCGAAAAATCGATGTGTATGATAGATAGATTAATAAAAACAAGTGTGTGTAAGTACATAGATATATCTGACAAGTTGATGCTCTTAACCTGAGATATAGATAGATGAAATAAGACATTATCCACATATCACATGAACACCTTTAGAAAGGAGTTAAATACTATCCTTTGGCAAAGTCTATTTGGTAATAGTTCTTACTCTATGTTCAATAATTAAAAGAAAAACTGTTAATCGAAATGAGTTGCTGAAAGATCTGTTAGATTGTTTTTTTGCTGTTCGTTTCCAATTACTATTTTACAATAGAGATGAATAGTTGATGTGATTAGTATTATGAATGATGTCTAAGAGATAAATGTATTACATAACATCGACAAAAAATTCACATGGATGAGCCATTGCTTGTAAAAATGATTCTTTACTTGAACGTAATTGATTCGGTACAGATTCTAATTGTCTAGAATTATTTGAAAGTGAATTTTGATGAGGATGATGTTGTTGTTTTGAAGATAATTTTAAACTATCAATATCTGATGCTGTACTACTTGTTGATGATGATTTAGCACTGCGTGCATCTTTTGAACACGATGAACCGCCTAAACGAAAGAAAAGAAATAATTTTGTTAGCATTGTGAAATAAGTAACGGTCAAATGTTAGTAAGAGACAATGATGCAGTACATGCTAGCTAGACACGAAAAAAAAAGAACAAAAGTATGTTAGTAGAAGGCACAGAAACAAAAAAAAATTGGGAAAACATGCATAAAATAAACAAAAAACTAACATTGAAAGCAATTTTATCCACGCTCTCACAAAATGTTAACAAAAACAAGCATGTAATAGAGCTGTAAGCCTTTCGACGATCTAATGTAGAATTTTATTCTTTAATCATTTAGCGAAAACACAACAGATACAAAAACAATATCTGTTCATTACATGCATAAAAATAGGGACGAAAGTCTATCATCGGATAAAAGATCTTTTTTTCAATTAACTTTTGAATGACATTGATCTTCGTAACTTTTAAAATTCAAAAATAAGAAAATTCATCTTTTTTATTCAGACAGCATTCATGCATAAAACGTTTCTCTTAAATCTGTTTTCTTTTATAAACGGCCACAATAACTAAAACAATACACTAAAAGACATCTTGCTTTTATTCAAATTCATTCATTTTACTAATCATAGAATAAAAACAAAAATTTATTTTACAGACGATTGAATTATACAAGTGCAAAAAAAAATTGTTGATTTCATTTACAAAAAAACTCATTTTACTAAAAATGCTTATCTGACCGTTTTTGATAAGAAAAAGTAATGAATGTCATGTTTTCAAACATCAATTGGATTGTCACTGATAGTTATATTATTCTTGTTATGGTAACTGGTATTGTCACCCACATCTTCTATACCCTGATCATTATTTTCATTGTTAACATGACATGTTTTGGAAATACATGAAAAATGACAGTAAGTTTTTTTCGGTGCTACGAATTTAGCGAAAAAAGCAAATATAGCACATTCAACTATTTAAACAAATGTCAAGAGAATAAAGGAAAAAATGAACTAAATACTAAAAGAACTAATTAGCGCATTTATCCTTACAAGAGAATATTGCTATGTCAAATACCTTGTTCAAACCTCACTGTGGACAGTTCGTTTTGTTAAGGATCACTTTTCAATATTATTATCTCGGAAAGAAAAAACTAAACTAAAACTAATGACTATCATTTCTCCTCGCTGTCTATAATGATATTTAATCATGTGGTGTGTTTATGTGCGAATAGTCGATCTTACCTGAATTGCTATGAGTTGACTGAGTTATACCGGCTGTTAACGTTGAATCATGAAATGTTTGTTGAGGAGAATACAATGGAGTATTATTCTTATCTAAATAACCATATGTTGCCGGCTTCAATGGAGCCAATGTATCACGATCATTTTCTGATACAGATTCATAATCCTCGGGTTCTTCATCTAATGTCAATTGGGATATACCTAAAATAAACTATCTTACGAAATAAAGTATCATTAACATTTTTTTTCCTATTGATTAGAGGATACCAAAGAAAAACCCACCTTGTGCATATAAATCTCCAAAAACATAATAACATTGTTCACTAAACGTTAATTTATTAACTGTATGTCGAATATAACCAGCTTTCAACATACTACTGGCATATTTTCGAGCGTCATTACGTTGAATAAATCCTTCAACGTGCTCAAATAACCAATTTACAAGATCAGAACCTAAAATCATATATTAATAAGTTTAGTCTCATTTAGTTATATCTAATAGCACTCACTACATACCTAAAAAGGCTCTTGGTATAGGCATTTTTAACCAAAAACGATCTCGAATATCTAAACCGGAATCTTTCTCAGCCATTGCTCGTAATATTGTATCCATATCACTATCTACTGTTAAATTTAAATCTAGCCCAAATCCTTAAGCAAGAAGAGTTCGCAGTAAATAATACGTTCATCTAAAAATTGTTGTGTCTTACTTTCGTTATCAGTCAACGTATTGCCTGTCGATGATATCGTTGAACTCATATTTGTTGTTGAACTCTGATGCAACAGCGATTGTCTTGCTGTAGGATTAAAGGTATTGCTAATAGCTTGAGTATGAGCAAGCCACGAGAGAGGATCGACTGGACGAGCTTGTTCATGACGAGGTAATGTAAAATAGCCACGAGGTGATGTATCCCAACACTTAGCAACAACTAATTTTATTGGTCTGAGAATAAAAACAATAACAACAACATACGAAAAGTAGGAGAATTTCAATTTTCAAATTTACCCAGGTTTTTGAACAGCCTCACGCAATATTTTAACAGCATCGTCGTTTGAAAGTTTTTCAAAACTAATATCGTTTACTTGTAAAATCATATCACCTGGTTCAATACGCCCATCATGAGCCACAGCCCCACTATAAATGACAAAAAATACTATTTAAATCTTCACTCATGCTGGATAGAAGATCGATGCGTACCCTTTCATAATAGATCCAACATAGATTCCTCCATCGGTCGTTCCATTTTTGTCACTTTGACCAACGATACTTATTCCAAGAAAATTCACAGAATCTAGAACACACAATAAATACCTAAGAAACATCATTATTCATCTAAATGAAATTCGTCAAACGTACCTAAGTTTAATGTAACAGTAATGATATTTAATGTCATTGTCGAATCTGAATTGAGACTACTAAAAGATGAAGCCTACAGACAAAAAACAATTAAATAGCATAGAGGAATAGAAAAATATCTCAGACACCTACACGATCGATAGCTATTGGTAAACGATGTTTTCTTCTTCGTTGACGATTTCTTCCATGATACCGAGATGATACTGCTGTCGAATCTGTAATAGTCGAATATCTGAAAAGAAAAGATTGATAGGTATTGTTAATAAAATTTTTGCCTTCATACCGGTCATCTTCTGTTTCGTCTAGAAATGTCGTTGTATCAAGATCGCTACTGGGAAATGATGAATCCTGATGTTGACGTTGTTGTTTAATTAAAAATCGATGATCTTGACTTGCACCTGAATGATATCTACGCGAATTTCGTTGTAATCTTGGCTGTTGAATAAATGATGAACTATTCGTTGTTGTCGTCAGTGTGTCATCGTCGATTATTCGTTGTTTGTGTTGATGTTTTTCACCGCTGGCTGTCGATGAACGATCTCCTCCCGATGTTGTACTACCTTCAAAAAAAAGTCTTTTTTTAGAAAATATAGTATACATAAAAAAAAAATTCTGATGCTATATCGCTATATGCTATGCTATAAGAAAAGTTGTAAATATACCTTCGATGGATACAAGATAGGCCACTATTCGATCTGTACCATTATCTGCATAGGGTAATATTTGATCATCATTTATTATCTCTTCTTTTACTTTTCCAATTGTATTATCAGATGACATGAAAAAGAATTTATATTTTGAACAATTTCGATCGAGAGCATTTTTAAAATCTTTTAATTTAACGGGTTGTTGTTGACATAATTTTGTTAAATAAGGTGGTTCTTGATCATCAATATAATAAAAAATTTTCGTTTCAATTAGTGGAGCTGGCGGAAAAGACTGGAGTTTCTCTTTTCCATCGTCACTCATGTTTCAAATCAAATAAAAATGTTAGAAGTCAATCGTGCATTGTTTAATTCTCATTTATATAANTTCCTGGATTGAAAGTGTTCCGTCGCCTTTCCCCATGCTATACCGATCTAACGAATATATTTGAAACACTTTCTATACTAGTGAAACTGTGTGGAAATACATACGCAATCGTGCATTGTTTAATTCTCATTTATATAAAAATTCTAAAGCAAATAACAAAAAACGTTGAAGAACTATGCATCTTGGTAGATTTTACACGGTAAACTTATTTTTGCCTGAGCAACATTCTGTTAGCTCGCTCTTTCTGCGCTCGTATATCGGTACTTTTATTTCATTTAATTAGAAGCAGTTACATACAACTTCATTACAAAATGTTGGGAAGCTCACGGATTTAAGAGATACGAAGCGAAGGCCGTCACGATTCTCCTACGTGAGAGTAATATTGATGCAGAGGATTCAACGATGGGCGAGTTAAACTAGTCTTTTGCTTCATACTTTGTAATCAAATACAGAAAGCTTTACATAAAGAAAAAAACCCAGCGATGTGGTACAATGCATCTCCAGTGTATTCTAATAACGAAGTTTGCGGATACTTTGACTAATGAGTCATTCCTTATATTTTAGAAAACAAATAGACGGACCATAGCGGCTTCTGAAGTCTTCACGTGATTTTTGTCAGTTCAGTATAAGTACTGCATCAGTACCTGTTTACAGAGAAAAGATGATAGTAACCAAATTTCATATCCACGCATTTTTTTCACAATTGGCACATTTTGTAAAAAAATACAGACCGTACATGTACACAGTACGCAGGAAAATAAAATGTGTGCCTAACATATTGTTGCGAAAACTCACCAGAAACATTATCCATTATACACTATTAGCGTATCTCTTACTTTTTTACACTATGAGACTATGTGTATGTATGCGACTTGTGTGCGAGAACAAAAGCTTCCTCTGTTTGGCTAATGCAAACTCCAATCAAATCGATCGCTTTAGCCTTCAAGCATGAATCTTTTAGTATTGTAGAATAGAAACATCAAATGGTTCTATTTTGATTTATCGTGTCTGTTCCTTAAAAATTACGATGAAAGTGTTTTTATTGAAAATTTTATTGTTGCATTTTTACGATTGCGTATGTATTTCCACACAGTTTCACTAGTATAGAAAGTGTTTCAAATATATTCGTTAGATCGGTATAGCATGGGGAAAGGCGACGGAACACTTTCAATCCAGGAAACTTTCAAACTTTGCTCGTTCTAGCCCACTAGGGAACTTTTTGAGGACCATATGTTTTATTTAGTCGTTTATCAGCGTTTTTGAAGGCGGACTATCCACTGATGCCGCGGTCATTCCAGAGATCTGTAAGTTTCGATTTTTATCTCGCCGAATAGAAGGGTCTGAGTCCGAGTCGCATCAAAGATTGACTCCAGTTATCTCGAGTCATTTTCTACAGCTAACTTCCTCCTGGACTCGAGTCTTTTAAGCCTAACGGCTTTGTTGCCTATGGGTATAATAGAACATTGTTTTATATGTGTATCTGCCTTGTTTTGTGATTGCATAAACATATAAAGTGTAAAAGCATTTTGGTCTTAAATACGGCCTTTCTAGAGTGAGCTTTCTTTATTATGTTACATTACTTGTTGCTGCTCTCCTTTCTAATTATTTAGGTCCAGAAAATCTTTATAGAAACCTTTCTTGAAGCTTTTCTAACCTAGGCCAGTTTAAAATCTGCCTGAATTTTAATATAGTCTGTAACATATATGCCAATTTACCGATCAATATTAGGCGATTTTTCGTGAAAATTT